AGGGCATTTTAGGTATTTTAAAAAAACTCCTCTCTCATCTCTTCTCTCTCATCTCTCATCTTTCCGACCTCCAATCTCCGGCCTCCGATGAACAAAAATCCGGCAGGTACCAAGTAATCATAAAGATACACAATGTGATACCCATTGTGATATACTGTGATACCATTTGGGTACCACAGTATATCACAATGGGTATCACATTGTGTATCTTTGTGATTACTTGGTACCTGTCGCATTTTTGTTCACCGGAGATTGGAGGTCGGAGAGATGAGAGATGAGAGAGGAGAGATGAGTTTTTTTAAAAATACCTAAAATGCCCTCTAATTATAATTTTAACTCAAACTACCATAATTATTAATTTCCTAATTTATCCGTTGATTTGTGGTTGAGATTGGATCTCACAGTTACCACAAACTAATCAGTTCTCATTTGATTAGGCCTCTCTCTCTCTCTCTCTCTCTATATATATATATATATATAATATATATATATATATAATATAATATATATATATATATGTGTGTGTGTGTGTGTGTGTATGTGTGTAGGCTTGGGATCATGTGAGACCAAAGGTTTTTCGTGAGACCCGTAAGAACAACTTATATCCATTGGATTTGATCAACAATTTGATCAATGGTCTGAAGTCGTCCAATGGCATTTTTGTGATTATCGATAAATCTGGTGGCGTTTATGAAGGTTCAAGGTTCGTATATCAGAGTTGAAGTTTGACTTTTCAGTTTTTGTCTTCATTCATTAAAAGTCCTCCAGGTGCGAACTGATTCACCATTGAAGGTTTACCCATAGCGAACTTTGCTCATCGATTGGAGGCTAAATTTCTGTTGGTAAGTAATAAAACTTAGGTTTTCTTTTTGATTAAATTGTGTTGTTCTTCTTCTTCGTCTTCTTTTATCTTCTAATTTGTGATTTTAGTATAACCACTGTGATTTTCAATCTTAATCTCTTCACTCATCGGAAGCCTCTTCAAACTCCAGACGCGAACTGTGATTCTCGATAACTGATTCGCCATTGAAGGTTTACCCATAGCGAACTTTGCTCATCGATTAGATGCTAAATTTATGTTGGTAAGTAACAAAACTTAGGTTTTCTATGGATTCCAAGTTCAAACCCTAGTTTCATATTCATGTTATGACCATTGTTGACTTGTATGTAGAATATGCACAACTTTACATTAGAAACAGTAGTAACTAGTTTTTGTACTTATCGTATTTTATTTATTTTTTATTTCTTCAGACTCGCGAAAAAAGAAAATAGGAAAAATAACAAAAAAGCTTGTTGCCAAGCTAAGAAGTAATCCAAAGGGAACTTCTACTCCATAACATGAAAATGAGATGAATATTGAAGGTAACAATTGAATGAAAGTTTTACATTTGATGTTTTGCCATTAATAATTTATGCTTTGTTTTACCTACCATTTCCACAAGCTGGGTTCTTATCGTAAACATCATGTCTCTTTGAGACTGAGATGAACTCTGTGATATCCTACCCTGAGCCATACCTTTGGGTGGATATTCTCGATTGAACATGGTCCCTAATCAACTTTAATCTATAAGAACATTTGAATATTTGTTTGACATGAATGTATTTCTTGGTCTTAAATGAAGAAGGTAAAACATTCACAGTGTTGTTGCTGTGAAGGTTTTGTGTTTTTGTTCCTTCCCAATGTTTTATTAAGTTTCAGTTTTAATTTGTAATCTCACAGGTCTCATGAAGAAGGTACACATTTACATGTTCTTTTCAATTTGTGTGTTACTATCATGACCTACCGAAACAACATGTTTGTTGTGAAGGTTCAAAGAAGGCAGAGAAAACAAATGGGTAAACATATTTTTATACAATCTGTAGATATATGTTGTCTTTTTATTTCTTTTGGTGGCAGTTACAAAGGTTATGTGTCTTGAAAATGAACCTTTACAATATGTTTGTTGTGAAGGTTCAGTTATTCAAAGTCAATTATAAGCTTTTTTGTGTAGTTTGTTATGACATTTTTATGGACTTTCTATGTATTGGTATTTAATAAAACATGTGTTTTTTATAATGTTGAGAGGGTGACATTTCTACTTGGTGGTGCTAAAAACCTCCAAAATGAAAAAAAACAATCAGTTAAAAGAAACCAATGACCTTGATTACATTGTTCACCATCCTAAACATCATCTGAGATTCTCTTGTGAATGTCTTCATTAGACATTCTTCCTCCTACAATCAGAATATGTAAAAACATTCTTTAGGGAGTTTCGAATAGTTGCATCCAGTTAATGAATTTTCACAACAAAAACAATTATTCAAAATAAGCTAATGGCCTTAATTACCCTCTGCATTGTTGAAAACATTATTTGAGATAAGTTGCTGATCATCTTCATTAGACATCCTTTTTCCTGAGACTGAAATGTCTTAAACCCTAGATCAAAGCCTACATTCTTATCAACTATATTATAAGGAAAGCAAAAAATTAAATATAAACAAATTACATTTATGTAAAAGATTTCTTATTTGAATTAAGGTAGAGAAGTTCAGTGTAGAATTGAGGCAACATCAATGGCAATTTCTACTGAAATCGACATTGTGGATGAAATTTTATGATGTAGGTTCAATGGTAGTCGGAGTTGTCAATTGAAGATCTTCAATCAAAGTATTGGACCAGTTGAGGCATTCAATCATTGTTTACTGGTCGAAGAAAGAGAAGATCATTAGAGGGAGAATGCCAGTTCATCCCAAGAACACAAAGTCGATCATGGAGAAAGGCGGTAAGAATCGCTTTTCATTGTTTTCGATCGTGAGGTTAAAAAAATAAAAAATATATAGGTCAAAAATACCCCTACAGTTTAAAGTTTAATGCTAAATTTTAACCATTATATCGTTATCTTATAAAATTGATCAATGGATATAAGTTGGTCTTACAGGTCTCACGAAAAAACCATTGGTCTCACGTGAACCCAACCCTATATGTGTGTATGTGTGTGTATGTGTGTGTGTAAGTAGGATATTTCTTAAAAAAGATCTATAAAAAAATAATATAATACTTTGTTTCTAAAGTGTCTTAAAAAGTGTGTTAAAATGCTTAAAAAGATCATGTAAAACTATTACACTTTTAGAATATGACAGACAAAAATTTGGAGTTAAAAACTTAAGTCTTATAAAATATTTGATGAAAAAAATTATTACATGTCTGTATGGACATAAGCTAGCTTACAATCTAACTTATTGAAACACTAGTTTGAATAGCTTTTAGAAATTTATTATCACATTTTTCAATTATAACTCTCATTAATATTAATTTTATTTATTACTATTA